GTTCCATCAAAAAAGGAAGTGGTTAGAGCAAGCAAAGGAGCAAGAAGATTTTTTTGAATATTTCAACTACTTAAAATAGGTATTTTAGCCATTGTCTTAAATGCCCAGTGGCTTCTGGATGATCAGATTGCCAGCAATGTCTGCTGGTCACTTTTGCAGTCTTTCGATGTGAAATTGTCACCTTTTCAGAGCAAATTGTGGGGCTGTATTTTAAGTCCAGTAGAACAGAAATCAGTGGGAATATGGCAGCTTGCTTGATTAGTGCAATACCTTGCTCTATCTCCTTGAAGCAGTAAAAACTTAAATATAATTTATGGTTACTGAATTCTTAAAAATTGTTTTAACCAAAAGACAATGGTTATCAACAAGCCATGCTGGGGTATTTGAAATAAACACTGGCCCCTCTGCTGAAATATTTTAGCACTGGGAAAAGAAGGAGCAGCTTCTGTTGGCAGCTTTGGAATTTTCTGCCCAAGTACTCCAAAAAGTTAACTTGTATTGGCCTCAGTTTATATCTGTTCTTCCCCTGAGAACTAGAACTAGGCTCTTCTTTAAGAGAGTACAGTCTTAACTAATGGTGAAGCTGATAGCACTTACAACCTTTGGTATATTCTATTCAATTCTAAAGTAAATTCCTATAAATTAAAGCAAAACCTCATTGCTATAGAGAGAAAAAGATGAATAAGACACAACTACAGGAAGATTATATATGAGTAAAGGGCAACTTACCTCCTAGGTCCCAGCACTTAGAAACTGACTAACTCTGTGCAGTATAAGATTCCAAAAAATCCCTGGGAAGGGGTGGGGTGGAAGTGCCCTTGACTTGTCGTAGAATAGAAACTGAAAGTTTTAAGGTTTCTCTCTAACATGAGGCTAAACTACGAAATATCAGTTATTCTTTGAACGTGTCTTTTAAATAACCCTTTAGGTATTGTAGCCTGAGCAACAAATATTTTATTGATTTGTGTGTGTGGATGGATTGTGCTTAAATATATTCAGTTAATATTGCTTAGTAATTTTTTTCTGAAAACACAGCTATCCTTGTAAGCTCTTGAGTCTGGTTTAGCTCAATCGGTAGTTTATCAAAATCTTGTTATGCGTTTCCGTAAGAAGGAAGAATACTGCCAGCAAGAGCTGTGTGACTGCAGCACTCACCATTTTGTTCTGCTGTACAGCAATTGAAGTCACATCTGTAGGCTGTACTTGCTCCTGAAATGTATGAACTCATAAGCCAAGGTGGAGACTCGAGTGTAACTTCCCTTCCTGATGGTTAATAGCAGTTACATCCAAAGACCCTGAGGAGAATCCCTAATTCCACTAGAGTTTTACCTTCTTCTGGAAATCCTTTTGTTGTGAGCAGGCCTGGCTCAAGGGGATAATAGGAACTTGAAATACGAGTATATTTGAGAAATGCACATATACACTACAGACACATAAGCTTGACAGTCTTTAGGAGCTGTCTGATAACTTTCTACAAAGCAGCTTGACCCCCTACTGTTATTTTTTTATATTTGTATTTACTTTATCACACAGAAAACCAATCATGTTACTCTGTCATACCAGTTATTTTATAAAAGTAGACAGAAGCGTGTAGCAGCTCAGAAGAGCTTAGTCTCCTGAAAAGACACAGCACTTTCTTCCCTTGAGGTCTGAAGTTATTGGGGCAACAGAAATGCTTAGATTTTGTTCTTTTAAATACAGGTAATAGAATAATAGAACATAATAATAGTAAAATATTCTTGAAAAGATTCAGTACCTAAATACATCCTTGAAAAATATCATCATAATTTCATATCACCTACATTAAAAGTTCAACATCATGTTACACAAGAGACTTGACTTGAAAGCGCATATCCATTTAAATTGTTGCAAACTTACTCAGTCAATGCAACATAAAATTATCCTTCATGTTGCTGTTGGGATCATTCTACTGCATTTATTTGGATGTCAAAGTGACAGGCCATTAACCTAGGGGTAAGCTAATTATTTAAGGAACTTTTCTTATTTTATACAATGAAGAAGTGTTCTTGAAAATACAACACAAACGTAGATATCTGTGTCAGATGGTAATGGTCCATTTCTTTTAAATATGAAAACATAATTTTAGTATTCAAACAGTCAAGACAATGGTAATTTAAAATAAAACAAGAACAAGCATCATTAAATAGTTGTGTTTCTGGACTTAGATTGATGCTTAACACATTGATCTTCCCCAATAGAAGCTTTCCATATTCCATCTGTTAGAATCTTTGACCTTTTCTTAACACCATTAAAAGATACAATGTTAATCTACTGAAAAAAGATGCATGACCTTTTAAAAGTGAACTGTACCACTTTACAGTCTGCCATCATTAAAGAACTTTATACTCAGGAGCCACGCATTATGTGTATCATAGCAATATAATTGTTTAGAATAATGTAATTGTTCAACCAAGAAGATATATACCGCACATAACATAAATTAGAACTAGAACTATGTGAACTTTGAAAACCCAATCAAAATAACATGTCAGATTGAGTCTTACTTTCAGTTTTAATCAGCCTCAACCTCAAATTTATTTTTTATTAATATGCTCCAATGCATGCCTAAAAGACACCATTTTAACAAAGAAGAAGAATGGTACTTTGGAACAAATGAAACCACATCACTGGCAAAGGAAGATGCTTATCTTCCTTTGTTTAAAATCACATTTACTTCTTTTTTCAGTATAAAGAAATAACTGGAGCACAAATATTTGATATTTCATAAGGAATTTCAATAGTAAGGAAAATAATGAAAATTGACTTAATTTGTTTTTACTAAATCTGATTTATCTTAAACACAACTTCTTAAAAGTGGTGGCCACAATTCAGAATAGTGCTGAAACCTGCTTTAAATCCAGTTCAGTAACAGACAGTAATTTGTTTTGAATACGGGCTAATTTGACTCCAAATTAAGAATTAAAAGAGAATGAAAAAAACTGATTGCATTATGTAGGTTCCGGTAACCTAATCTTATCTTCTGGTAAGCTGTAAGTTTTAGATGAAGCCCATCAAATTGCTTTGAGGACATAGCTATATAGTAGTGTGTCTACTCAGTAACTATTTAACAGAGGATAATAGAAAGCTTCAGCATTTGAATATGATGTTCTGCTAGTACCTTTTATTTTATAGGTAAAAAAGCCTTTGTACGGATGAAGGCACTATTCTATTTTAACCTAAATTCTGTACAAGTCCCTAAGTTGTTCCATTTTCCACAGTAAAACCAGTGACCTTAGATTGGATAATTTGGAGTTGGAATATCCTCTATGCAAGTTTTTCCAGTGGAATTTACTCCTTAAGCTAAGTGGCAGCATGCAAAATAGAGATGCAAGTGTTCTAATATAACATAAATTTAGATCCCAACAATAATATTCTTTGACTGTATTAACTTATTATGTTTAACAATGTCACGGCAGTGGAGGTTCTTACACAGCTCTGATGCAATGGGTGCATTTAAATTAGTACTTTAGGGCGCAGAAGTGTTTATTTTTTTCCTTTGTGATTTTGCCTTGCACCTATACCTGAAGGCAGGTGGTGTGTGCTCAAAGCTGTTTCTTACCTCATGAATCTGAAGCTGAAGTCATTTGCTGAATTACCGTATTGAGTAGTAATGACGACACGCAGTCTTGCAGGATTTAACACTCCACAAATATATTGCATGCATAGGAATGGAAACTGGCTTGAACTACATTGTTAGAAATGTGATCATCTGCATAATGCAGAAAGTAAAGGAGAAATCACAGGCTTTACTAAGAGTTTTTGGTATGTTGAAAGACATTCACTTCATAAACAGGAAAAGTTTATATTCTGTTTTCTGATTGCATTGATGCACTAGCCCTATCCATTAATGTATTGTTCCTGTTAAATAAGCAGCACCCCATTTTGTACAGGCCAAGCATTTCATCTTTGAAGCTAGTAGTCACTTTTTTTCTCAAGTTCTTCCATTGTTTAAACCTGCTTCCCAGTCTCAGCCCCAGTTTATCACACCGCAAATTTCCTCTCTCGCATATTCTTCCCTCTAGGTCATTGATAGTGAAAGCAAGCAATATGTTTCCTGGTGTTCAACCATGTGGCACTTCAGTAGTCACATAACACACTAGATAAGGAGATGACAGTCTGTGCTGCTCTGAATAGCATATGTGCATGCCATCTGAAAGCCAGGAGCTCGAGGACGTGGATACAGCCAACAGAGGGAGTCAATGGCAGCAGAGCCCTGGCCATTCATGCCCTGCTATGGAGAGAAGAAAAATGGACAGCTTTGCATTTATGGTTAAAGGGAAGAGTTCAGTCTGTTTCTCATTAGTCCCTAAGCATCATTTGGAGGCCTCTTCTTTCTAGCTGGAGGTTGCCTACGTGACACAAGTTTGGTCCCAGCTCAGCAGGGGGTGGTGCCCTGTTAGAATGTCAGCTATTTTGATAAATGTTTTGCCCTAGTAACAATTTTTATGTGTACAGAAAAGATCTGATCTATAGCATTTGCCTTTTTATATGCCTATTAAGTATACTTATGAACTAACATAAAGAAGTGATAACTGCTATCTAGTTAGAATTACAAAATAAAGCCTAGTTTGTGGGGAATACCTGCTTGCTCCATCTTTTACAGTATAGTAGTAACATTTAACATCTCTTCTGCCTATTTATAACTAGGTACCCAACATAGCTAGAATTATGTAGATCTCATCAACCAAAGTGGCATTCCCTTCAGACTAAAAAAGTCCTAGATCTCAGCATTGGTGAATATAATAAAGAGAAAGAGTCTTTTCTCTTTGACAGAAGCAAGCTGTCACAGTAATAGTGAAATGATACACAGAAGAAAAAAAAATTCAAAATATTCTTAGACACATTCAGGCAACATGTAAATAGAATAATAAATCTGGCAAGAAAGATCTGTTTATTTTTTGCACAAAAGGGCTAAGAAGTTGTTTGTTTGTTTTTTTTTTCCATTTTAAAGCATGAATTTCTTTTTCTTCCACCTGAAGTCTGCACAGTATTCCACAGAGCAGCTGTCCACAGCAAGAAACTCATCATTCACTCTCTGATCAGCACATACAGTAAGTGACATGAAACTCTGCTTAATTCTCTTGTGTCTTCATGAAATAATTTCTTCACCAACTAAAGAAATCTGCTGTTTACCATAATCTCAATTTAACACCTTCTCTCACTGTTCAAAAGTAACTGTCTGCATTTGAATGGGGTTTGCAAAGCAGAAGTAACTGCCAGGGAAAACTAAACAAGTCTTGTCTCTTCCTTGAAAGTTGAAAAAGGCTTTATGTTTTTTTATCACAGTGACAGGTTACATGGTAAATAAAGTTTGAGATCTTTGCTTTGGCCATTTAATACAAGAATTGCTTCGAAGTGAACAAAGCTGAAGGGTGCAAAACTTGAACTAAGCCCAAGTTCCACATTAAGTCAGTTGTTGGGAGACAAGTGGCACATGCCCACAGTAACGCTGGGGGAGCGGGTGTGGTGGGGCAGGCTGCGGGCTGCTGCTCCTCGCTTACAGAGGAAGCCCCTTCAAACTAATGGGCTTTCAGTTAAGGAGCACTATGGAAAACAGGCCTTGGGAAACATTCCACTCCTTAGAAGCTAATTGGTTTGGTTTGTGTAACTAGAAAGCGGCTGGGAGGATCTCAGCACCATCAAAGCTGGGAAGGGTCCCACCTTGCCTCACATTACTATGCACAGCAGAGGATCGCTTATAAAACATTTCCTCACTCGAAATGGAATCAGATACAATATCTTTTAATCAGCAATCTAAACAAAGGCCCTGTTAGTATTGGGAGATTAGCTAGATTTCTACAGATTTGTTCTGAAGTTAATGAAATTGCATCCAAAGGAGACATGAGATATGAAATGTTCTGCAGGACTTCAAAGCCTGTGACTACAGCTGCACTCCCAGCAGCCCGTACAAGCCCTGCAAGCACTTACCTGGGAACCTGTTCTTGAGGAAAACCTCTCCTGCAACTTTCTTCCCCTGACTCATAAGGTTTGAGGAAATTCGCATTTCAAAATTTAGAAGTACAGTGTACAATGCTTTCATGTCATAGCTGGATTGAACTAAGAAAAAGCATTGTGTTGGAGGGTAGGAACCTCTTTTTGTCTTTTGTGTTTATATCACTGTGTTGATTTACTGCTGGTAAAAAAATGGTAATGTAAAATCCTTGTGTAATTTTTCTGAAACAGGATGAGTTTTCACATGATGTGAGTAGCATTGTACTCCTAACTACAAAATGCTTAGAGGAAACTAATCTAAGTTGACGGAATTAATATTCCAGCAAAGAGTCAGTACTTGCCTCAATAAGATATTTTTAGCATTTTTGGATTTTGATATATGTGTATTCTTTTTCCCAAGAGAACAGGAAAACTACTTCTCTTCTCACCAGTTCTTTCATGTTAGGTTGTTTATGGCAGACCACTGCATTAGGTCATGTAGGCCATTTGATCTACTTGTAAATGAACAATGTTTTGAATCATCCATATGTTTCATTTGCTGCCTCTCTTTGGTCAGGTGAATGTAATTTCCTACCAGTACCCAGGCATGAACCAGAGTTTAAAGTTTTCACATAAGCCAGGTATGTACCTAATCAGAATACTCTTGCTTAGGCAGAGCTTTCAATGCTAGAAATAATGTTTTTAAAGCATATTGACATATGCATTAAATGAAAAGCATACATAGTATTGAAGCGCTCTATTTCCCTAGAAAAGGAAGAGAATAAGTCTTAATTTTCCTTTAGGGCAAAGCTTTAATAAAATTGCTGCTAGTTCATAGTCTTCCAGTTATTGTTTAAACCCCATAAGATACTTAGGGCTTTGAGTGTTTATACCAGGAAAAGAAAAATATGAATTCATTCTTGAGCTTAGATTTAAAGCTAATAAAGTTATTCTGATTCCTATTACGTTTCTTGCCCACCAGCGTTACCCTCTTGCTATTATTTAGTGGAACAGTTTTAGTGTCTTGGGTTCCTTGTATCTTATGGAAATTGGGAAGGAAAATCAAAGGTCACAAGGAACATGGGAAATGGTAATTACATAATTGCAACAAAGAAAACGGAAGAAAAGAAAGGGAACAGAGGATTTTTTCAGAACAGAACAACAGAAGCTATCGAAGTGGTTCTCTGTCAACGTTTTTAGTGTTGTCATTTAGGTGTGTCTATGTGGTTGAGTGATTTTCCTCAGTAATCTGCTTGTTTTATTGGTTTTACAGTTTTTAGCAAGATGATTTCTGAATTTTTCTCAGATTCTCTCTGTTCCCTCCAAGATGGATGCAATTTATCATGTTGCCATTATCCACCCCCAGTGATTCAAAGACTTCTGTGTTTCTTAGCAAGACAGCCAACTTCTCACATTATATGTACTTGGATTAAATCTCATTTCTCCTCTCTCATGGCTACCAGGCGTTATGTTTCAAAGTGAGATCTTCAACAGTTGAAATTTCACTTCTATAGTTCCCAGTAAATGTAAGTCACAATATCCCAGGGTCTGAGTGGAATCCCACTCTGGCAGGATTATTTTACTATGTCATACAATGTGCAAGGAAGAAGAGAGGAAGCATGTAGCCATTTTAGCAGCTTCTGTCTCCTCCCTAACTGAATTGGAAATTAATGTGAATTATGTGATAAAATTACGTGTGGCACTTATAATTTGCAATGTGATCAAATATATGTGTATAGTATGGGTGAATAAATAGAAAATTGATTGCATTCTTAACTCTGCAAATCTTAGGAACCTATCAAGTTTGGCAGATGTGCATGTTTATCTACAGTTGTCATCTGCTGCAAAACATCTGGATTTTAGAGGGTCAGACTTTTAGACAACCTGAGCGTGCTACAGATTCTACAGACTCTTGTTAGCTACCCAGTTTGAAAACAGAAGTGTATGGGACTTCTGAAACTGTTTGCAAATCTGTCCTTAAAACAATATGGTTTTTTTGGTGTCTAAAATGCATATCAGTGCTTTTTTCCATTTGTTCTTGTGTTTAAGAATTCAGTGAAAGGTACAATTTTCTGCAGTGCCTTTGCTAATTATATGACTGACTTTAGATAAATTGTGGTAATGTTTGGGTTTCATACTTGATTTCCAAGTTTTGGGTATGAGGTTATGCATATCCACAGCTTGTAAGAAGAGCCAGACTGACAGCAGAGGGGTTGATATCCTTTGTGGAGCAGGTACAACGTGTTGCCTTTTTACCTTGTCAATGTCTCAACACACTCCCAACATGGAGAATCCCAGTTAGTTTCCCTCATCCTCCTGTCCTTAAATGCTGGACTGGGCTGGGCTGGGCAAGGCAGTCTGAGTTACCATTAGTTCTAGCTGGTGATTGAGTGTGCAAACCCTGCAAAATAAGCAAAGTAACACGTTGATGGAGACAAATAAAATTTTGTCTTGGGCACTTACAAGGTCCAATGAATCTCTTATTAACAAACATGCCTCATTTTCAGATTCATTGAAAAATGCAGTGTAATCAGGCTTTAATCAGGAGAATGAGACATTATGGTGCATATTTTCAGTTCTGAAATGAAAATCTATTTTTTAAAAAAGAAAATTAAATGCTATTTCAATTTTATTTTGCTGACCATGTAGGACTGCACTGAGCTCCTGCCACCTTCCAGGATGCTCGCCAGGCAGTCTGTACAAATATTATCATTACTTAAATAGGGTCTGAATCATTACCTTGTGTTTTCACTTTGTAGTGAAGTGATTTAAATATAGTTTTCTTATGTTGGGATCCTTTGACAAATGCATAAATAGTTAGCACATTGTTAGCAACAGTGAAAAGGAAATGGATGCCTAGCAGGAGGAAGGGCAAATAATTTTCTCATGCCTTGCTGTGCTCTTTCTGTAGTGTAAATCAACTCTTCTCTGAAAGTAAAAACTTATTCCAAGATGTCAACAAAAGTAAAGTAATTAGGAAAGGAAATGTAATTCCTCTCTGCTGCTCCTCCCTCACACACATTAGTAAATGAAAGCTATTTAAAGATACAACCTGGCATAGACTAATTGGAGATGAGTCATTTGGGACCTGATCCTGGAAATGCTTACTCAAATGAGTAGCCCTTTGATTGTTCGCCTGGGTCAGTGTGGAGTGCGTGTGCATGCTGCAGGATCAGGGAGGAGAGGGGTCAGTCCTGCAGGCTCCTGAGCTCTCCTGAATCAAAGGCTCCTGAGCTGGCCAGCTCCAGTGGGAAGATGCCTGTGCTTGGAGTTAACTGTTCTATTGGATCACAGCCAGTTTGGTCAGTGTCTCCCAGGACTAAACCCTGGATGTTTAACTTAAATAGAATAGGAATATTATGGGGCTACTTTGATTAATTAATCTCATTTGGAATAAAAGAAACAACTAGAAAACTGAAACACACCACAAGACTTCCCCACATTCACTTCTGCTTCTGGTTCATGTCTGTCATAAAATTAACTACTGTAATATGCTTTTTCCACAATTTAGTTCTCAAACACTTGGCTGCAAAGGAAGCTGTAAAGCTCAAAGGCGTATTTTTTCTTAGTGTTAGTAATTAATATGCCACTAGTCTTTGCATAAATAAGTTGTCTATTTTAAAGCAACTCAAATGGGCTATTTCATTTTATATGACTGTTAATTAAGATGTTGATTAGCCCTGCTATTGAAGCATTGAAACCCTTTCTAAAAGAAATGGCCACTGTTTCAATTTTGTTTTAATTAGTTGGACTTTGAGGTTATTTACTACACTGTCAGCTATCAAAGTAAGCTATTTAATTTGATGTTCGGTCTGAGGCAGGTAGCACACAGAATTCCACATTTGCCTGTAACCAGTGCCATTAACAGCAGTATGATTTAAGGTCATTTAAGAGTCATCAACCTCACAGATGGTAAAATGCGAAGTATCTAAAAGGGAAAATAACAATTGTTGTCTTGTCAAATAAAATCCGAACATTGTATTTTTCGTGAACACCCACTAGCTTCCAGCAATTTTATACAGAATGTGTTTCCCTTTGGGCGGAGAGTGTTAGGTCTTCCCTTTTATGTATCCTTCCATTGAGACATGCTAACCCCCTCGGGAGGTGAAACCCACCCAGATATTTGTGATTTTAAAACTTCATTTGCGTCACTTGCAACAGAGATGGATCATTATTCTGGGATAAAATCACATCCTGCACAGTGAAAATAACAGGCAACATTTGACCTGAAAAGGGAAAGAGGAAAAAAAAACCTCAACAACTTTAAAGTGTTAAAAGAAACAGTGTTAAAGCTGCTTCAGGAAACAAATTCTCCCTGTAATGCAGTGTAATTGCGATCTTTTCTAAGCTAAGTATAGTACCCTAGAGATTACTATAAGTAACTTATAATAGAATTTTTATTAGTGGTAGTAATTTTTTATGATAATTAGTGTAATCTGCAGCCAATAAAATCAGAAGATATATAGTTATCTCTTTTACACCAGAAAACTAATCTTCAGACAGCTGAAACATTAGATAAAATATATTATTTTATGATTGTTATACACCTTTATGTTCTTCTTATTTGGTATTTTTTAATAGCTCTTTCTATTTAATGATGAAAAATGTAAGGCCTACTCAAGAGCAAGTATAAAGCAGCTAGCTTAAGGTAAGCATCTGGCATTACGTTTCCTTGGCAATCTTTATTCCATCTGATCTAAAACCTCATCCATTCTGGACGTTAGTGAGTTTTAAGTATTTCTTCTAGATAATGGGTGACCCTTGCACAAGCCCTGTCCTCACAGTGAGATTCTGCCTTTTCTTATTGGCTGGAGGGAGAGGCCTGGCTGTGCACATGGTCTGTATGTTTTTGGGACTCTCTTGTGCTGCTCCACAAAAAGAATGTTTTGACAAAATGGATTAGCTACTACTGCTAAACCAGTGGGTTTGCTGGAAATACAAAGAAAGAGAACAGTTCCAAATAAACCTAGGGAAGGACTAACTGCAATTCTCTGTTAGTGTTCCAAACCAGTGTTTAGTTTGCTTCTCTGCTGGAAGCAAACTCCAGGCTGCGTGGGTAAGATGGAGCTCTCACCCACGAGTATGATGACAAAGCTGGCATCATAAATGCCTAGAATTTCTTAGGCTTGGACTTCAATCAAGGCTGTTTGAAAGGACATGGAAGGCTATGAAGAGGGACTGATGTCTTCCACTCAGGGAATGGGATAAATTCTCCTGGACCTTTTGGAAATTATTCCTACAGAAGGAGGTCAGAGGACTGTTGCATTCTCCTAGGCTTTTTAGACTTGGTCTGTCCTAAACTGAGAAAGAGAAGGGGAAAAGGAAAGGGGGGAAAGTTATGGTTTCACTCCTTAGACATGCTGACATTAGTATTCCCAGCAACTGTACAGATACTCATAATCTGTGTTCATAATCTTCTATGCCTTGATGAGCAGTGACTCCATGTTGCCAGTTGACATATTATCTCCAGAATGTGACTTAGTGTCTGTTGAGATGCGTGAGGCAGAGGAGGCTCCACAGAAGTTTGTCCACATTCTGCAAATATGGGAGGACATCAGTGCTTGCAGTTACCTGCAATCCATACCTGTGATCCATATTTTGCGAGTT